TTGAATTATTGCCCGTGGAAATTTCCTCTCAAAATTTTTTCTCGAGAAAAATCTCTTGAAAAATCTTCGAGAGAAAATTTTTTCACAGCTGATAATGCAATTTAATTCGTTTTTGGATGCAAATAAATTAATTTATTTGCGTATCTGCATAGTATTTTTGTGTATTTATTTGCCATTTTTATTGCAAATTTATTACGTTCATAACCCCATAAGACGGGGTTGGAAAAGCGTATAAATGGCGACTGAAGATCTAGCAGTTGGCTATAACTAGCGTATTCAACTGAATGGGACAAATTTTATGATAAAGAGTACGAAAGACAATTATCAGTAATCGGACCATAATGAAAAAAAAACGACTATATTTTTTGATACAAATATTAGAAAATCTTTTATTTTATTTTATGGATGTTTTATTTTTTAAAGAACATTTTACAAAGAAAAATATTTTCATTTTGGTCTGATTACTAATGATTGGCTTTCATACTTTTTGTCACATTTTTCCCAATTTCCTTGAATACGCAAGTTATAATATAGCCAACTCTTAGATCTTCAGCCGCCGTTGGTACACTTTTCAGCAACCTTACCTGTGAGTAATGACACATATCGATTAACTTTGTTCATTTTTATTTTATTTTTTGAGATCTTTGATTAAACTCCGAATCTATCGTATAACCTGTATTAGAAGAGCAGACCCTTCTATTGTTCCAAGCCTCATGGTACCCCCTTCTATTACAGGGACCCTTCAATTAGAAGGAGCCATTCTATTTTTCCGGTCATTTTTTCAGAAAATTTTCATAGAAAAATTTGGCGAATTCGTGTTTAAACCTCATGAAATTTTTCGCTAAAATTGAGCAAATTCTGGAGAAAAAAAGGTGTATCAAAAAATTTCTGTGAAAATTTGGAATTTGCGGAATTTTTCCTCTGAAAACGCATGAAAGTTTTTATTATTTTCAAAACATTTTGAAAGGAACCCCTTTTTTCAGGTCCGCCCCTCGAAAGGCCACTCTATTAGAGGGGCGCTTCTATTAAAGGGGCCCTTCTAACACTGGTTTACGGTATATCACTCCTTTTTCATGTGATCCATGGTTTCTAATCGTTTTGTAATATTCTCTAGGGACCTCAATTTCAGAAAACCAACGAGATTTCTTATTACCTAAAGGTGTATGCTTGATGAGTTGTTGGCGGAAAGGTGCGAAGAGGGCGGCGGCGCAGCTCGTCGGATACTTGGTGTCCTGCGCCAAACCTAAAATTCTTGATTCTCCAAATTTCAAAACGAATGGAATACTCACAGTCGATTCGCGACTAGTCCTTTCACCGTCGGCACCCGTCCTCCCATTGACAGAACCTCCGCGAAACTCGATTTCGTACTGAAAAACGATTCATATTGAATTTGCAGAATCACACCAAATTCAGCTAGTACAAAACGATCACATATTGCAACCTAATCAAAAAATATATCAACTTCGAATGATGACTTTTGTCCTTTTGCGAACTTTTTAACGAACACAAAAGATAATGAACACGGCTTGTATATGTTGGAATGAAATAGATAGATTCAGGGAAGAGAGAAAAAAGCAGTTAACGGAATAACTGAAGGATTGGGGGGGGGGCTGACATTTTCTATTCAAATGAAATTATAGACTCTCTAGAAACAAACATACCCCTGTTGTGAATCCTGGAACATCTGAAGTTTTTTGTTTTTCAGTTAATCATAAAACAACCAAGTACAGTACTCTTTTTATCTCTATGATTATTCTAATAACTTACCTTCGTAGCGCAAACGAAAGACGCTGTGACTAGTTTTGCAATTTCATTCATCAAATTCTTTGTCTCTTGAATCACAGAATCCACTTTTCCAAATGTTGCTGTTTTTCCAACTGTTGGACTCTTGACCATCACTTGCAACTGCTGACAATGCAACGGGATCCTCTCCAGAATCGCCGATAGATCAGATTTTTCAGCAGATCCAGGCACTTCGTATGAGAATTCCCGAACAGTTCGATACATTTGATTCGCTTGTTCCGCAAAAAACTCCGCTTGAGTGAATAGATCATGAGTTGTCTTCAAAGGACCATCTCCACGTGTAAATAGGTACATGTTATATGCCATAGAAGACATTGATTTTGCTCGTTTTACTATATCATTCTCAGCATATTCATCCCATTTTTCAGCCTCTGCATCTACTTCCGAAGTCAATAATTTCATCTCTAGTCCCACTTTAGCCATCTTTTGTTGGTCTTCAACATCCAAAGTTATTGGCTTTGATGGTTTCTGAGTTGTTCCATGTTTCTGAAACATTTAGAAAACATAAGTTTCCGTTATATAAAAAACATCACAACGTTTATTATAGCACCACATTATCGAAGCACAACACAGAAAGAAAGAGAAAGAAAAAAAGAAGAAGGTTTTAGAAATAGAAAAGAAACAACAGCATGCAAAAGTCAGAAAAAAAATCAGGTCATCGTCCCTCTACATCACTCTGTAAATCGTCAATAATCAAACTGATTCGGTACTGGAATGCCTCGATTTCTTGTTTATCCGTTCTTTCATCGTCACTGCTTTCTTCATCGCCCGTTTGACTGACAACTCGTGTTGGTCCCATTCCAACCTGTTTTGGACGTCTTCCTCCGTTTGGTAAAAGTTCATTTGAAGAAGAATCAGAAGAATTGCCAGCATGCTTTATCCGACGGCAAACCGAAGAAGCTTGACTATTTACACCACTCACCCCTGGTCTTGGAAGCGACATGTATGCTTGTTTTTCAGCAGCCACTCGTCCGTTCGCAGCTACGTCCGATTCTTTTGCCACTCGGGATAGATCGTTGACCTGGAAAATAAAAATATATGAGAGTTTTTCAATTGTTCATTAAGAAAACCAACCGCTTGTCCCCAAGTGTCACAGAAAACTTCTAGATTTTCTCTGGCTATCCTAGAAGATGGATGTACGCAAAGAGTTCTTCCAGCAAGAATGGTCTGAACCATTATTGTTATTTATAGGAAAACAGCTGAAGTTTACCAAGGGAGCCAATGCTCTCATATTCCTCTCTACGTGGCCAGTGTGAACATGCAGAGCATCAGTGATGGAAATGTGATGCAGAAGTCGGCAAACCTGAAAATTCTCTCATATTCATAAAATCAAGTTTCTTAGAACATACCTCCTGCATATGATCTGCATGTTCTCTAAATTTGTGCATATACTTTTCGACTCCATCAATATCACCCGATACAGCACATGCTTTCATGGAGGAGAGAAGAACTTGATCTTCATTTGCTCGCAGAACTTCTGATATCTGTTCCATGGCAACTATTTGTAATTGTTTACTTAAATCCTTTAATCTTCTATTCAATCTCTCCACGGTCACTTCTAATCCACTAGCTGCTAATTGTTCATTTTCATCTGGTTGAATAAGATTTGTCATTTCAAATCTACATTCTTCCAGGAAATCCAGAATCTGTTCTCTTTGATGATGTGGAGTATAGGCTGAATCCGTGAAATCTTGGGTCAACTGGCAGAGAGCATCTAGAGCAGATACTATTCTTTCTCGGACTCCAGCACCAACTCGTACTGTCATTCGAATCATTTCCAGCATTTCCTTAAAGAAACCAAATCAGAAAAGTTGTAAGATAAAACTTACAGTAAGTTGTTTGATTGCCGCATTAGCTGTCAGTTGCAATGCAATATCGATTGGCATATCGGGTTCATCTTGAATGTATCGATTCTTTTCCGTCGTCAAAATTCCATCACAAACACAAATTGCGATCAAATCTAATGATAACTTCATTTGATAGAAAACACCATCTCTACATTGAAGTGCAGAATCACAGTCTGGATGTCTCAGATATGTCTTAGAAGAAGTCAAAAGTAGCATTGTCAGTCTTTCAAGAGCAGTTCTGGCAATTGACATTTGTGCTTTTCTTTTTTCGCTTTTCAAATCGTGTTGGCGATCACCACTCCTATGAGCCAATTCCACCATTTCTCCACCGAAAACAGCAAAAACCTTGACAAAATCATTGAAGGATCTAGTCGATTCCAGTCTTGATAAGGAGAAGGCGATCTGAAAATTTTTATAGTATTCCGATTGATTTTAATCAAAAGATCTCACCTTATCCTCAGCTCTCAAAACCTGCTTGACCAAGACACGATCCGCCAGTAGAAGAACTCTGGTAACACTGCTGAGTAGCTGTCTGCTTGCTCTCACCAAAACAGCCTTATCAACAACGGAATTTGGATCATCAGTGCATGCACAGGACAGGTTAGCCATCGAAGCTCCTGAAAAAAATAACAATGGTGCTTAGCAGGGAAAAAATGAGGGACAAGTAATCGGATACGTAAGGAGCGGATTTGTGCATGCGTCGGCGAGCTGCTCTTTTTTACCACTCAACTACGAATGTACATAGATGACGATCACTCCAGAAGAAGACGTCTTCGTCTTGTAATCACACCCCATACTTCTTCGACGTGCTTTGGTTGTAATATGATATTCACTAAGGATAGGGGCGGATTTAGTGCATGAGAAAAAAGCGTCTCCTTCTTCAGAGCAAGAGTTCAACTTACCAGCAAGACGGGCTTCGGTACACGCGTCATACATTTCCGGTTGAATGTCCGAATTCTCATCTGCTATCGTTTCTCCAACACAGACAAATCTTTCGATCGCCGCTTCTACTGCACTACCAATCTGAAACAGATGGAAAATTAAGTTATGTCCGATAGATCTTCTGAATCTCTGACCTTTAATGCTGCTCTCATCGCTCTTTCCGATTTTGGTTTCCCGCTTGTCAGATATGATTCTTTGTAGTTGACGAGTGTGGTAATCTGAAAGAAACAAAAAACGAAATCAAGTATTTATTTTCGGGCACCCTCTTCCATTTCCGTTTCGTGTCCAATGGTCCGTCACAAAACGGAAACAAATATGAATAATCGTTTTTTTCATGACAAATGATGTCATTCATACCTGAGTGACGAGTGGAATGAGCGTTTGCTCGATCGATTTGGTTTTGATTTCCAGGTTTCTGGCGTCGAATGGAGGTACCACTGAGTTGGAGGAAGGCAGCGCTGTTGTGTGGTATGAAGACGTCAACGATGACATCGAAGACGTCGCCATTTTGAGAGGGCGCCTGCCTGAAATTATGATAAAGTCGGGTAATCGTTATAAATTGAAAATAGCTAATCCGTCTGAAGTTCAGAAGGTTGAAGAATGAAGTTTAAAGTGAAAACTGTAATGGAAGAGCCTCCCAGTTTAAAATATATTTCCTTAGTTCCTATGAAAAATATGAAAAATGTGTCAACTGATAAAATATTTGTGATATTATTATAAGCAATTTATCAGTTGACAACTTATTTATATTTTTCACAGCAACAAAACAAAGATAAACTAACTCAAAGTCAAAAGTTAGGGGGCCTTTTAATACAGGTTTTACGGTAATTCGAGTTCAAAAGGGAAAATCACAATTCGGGTTTTAAAAGTTTTGGGAAGTATGAAAAAAAGGGTAGCTTGAAAAAGTAATCTTATTGAGAACATGGATTCAATTTCTGAACCAAATTTATTATGGAGAAAGATAATAAAAGTATAAGAAGAAAAAATAATCCAAAATCTTCTTAAGCTCCAGTACAGAACTGAGTTTGAAAAAGTTGTTCTTCGAAATGACCCCAAAAAATTTAGGAAACCATGTTTGGAATGTTCTTCTAAATATTCAAAAAAAAAGTTTGTAACAAAACCTAACAGATTTTGAGATATTTCAAAACAAGAGGGGTAGAAAAAGTAAAAGAAAAATGGGAGGGAGATCGTATCAAATAGAATATCATTCTCTGGAGAGTTCATCCCAGAGAAAAACAGAATCCTACCGGGAACCGAGAAAGTGACCGATGGACGAAGGGGTCGAGAAGACAGGGAGGTGGTTGTTGTGCTCAACAGAGGGTGACTAAAAGGCAGAGGGCACTTTGTGTTCTTCTTGCTCCACGGCCCTGGCTCTGCGCCTCACTGCAAAACCTCTTTTCTCTTTCTACAAGAGTGTAAAGTGGCTGTTTCTCTTCTCATTCTTCGAGTATTCCGCGTTTTGCTCTTCTCGTGTCGCAGCCGCCGCCGCCATCAGATGCTACGAAAAGAAAGAATAGAAGAAGGGTGGCGATGATCGAATCGATTAGAAACATATTATTTTATGAGGGCATTAAATTGAACGATTGCGTTGAGTACAATATCTCTTCTCTCTCTCTGTCTATCTTCAAGATCAGAGTGGATATAGGGAGAGAGAGAAAGAGAAAGAGATTTAGATTCGTTCATTCCATTTGTTTGTTTCTCATCACACATATTATATTTGGTATCAGATATTCTAGTACATTATTCCATTAGATAATCAAGGTTTTCAATCCAAACTATGAATTATTTCAAAAGACATAAACTATCAAGAACTAAAAAAGAACTAGATGGGATACTTCATCATAAATCAAATCAAGGTTAATGATAGGAAACCAGTTAAGTTAGAAATTATTCTTTAGTTTTTTGTGAACATCCTGTGTTCAAAATGAATTTGAAAGAAAAAGTGATATGAGAAGGTTCATAAAAAACTAAAACTTTTTGAAAAATATGTTTTATGTCGTTTGAAAATATAAAAATGATTCAATGATAGTTCTTGATGAATGAAACATTCCAAATATTAAGAATTCGGTTGGTTTGAAAATTGACGCTATTTCGAGGAAATTCAAAGTGTCAACCCAAAGAAAAAAATCGTTTTCAAAATATATCAGAACACCGAACCAGAGATGTCCGGAATTAATTTTTTGATAAACGTAATCGGGAATCCGGAATAAAATAATTTTCTCGGAATCCGGAATCCGGAATCCGAACAATTAAAATTTTTTCGGAATCAGAAAAGTTCTAAAAACACATATCGTGCTATATTTTTGCATTTTTAGTCGCTGAAGTTCAAAATAGTCAGAGAATCCTTGCAAATTAGCAAGTTTGCTTGCAGTCCAGAATAAGAAATTTTCTCGGAATCCGGAACAAATGAAACTTTTCACGGAATCCGGAATCCGGAATCCGGACAAAAATATTTTTCACGGAATGAAAAAAAGGACGGAACCCGGTATCCGGACATCTCTGCACCGAACTGAGAATAATTCATTATTAAAAATGGACTGATTTTTAAGAAGCGCCAGGAAAACAAGGCAAAGTTAAAAGTTGAATAAAACAGTTGAAAGAGGGAAACGTTCTACATAGTCGTTTCAAAAATGCAAAGAGAAATTTAAAATGGCGTATTTCCGTCTCCAAAAAGAGAGAAACGAAACCCAGATGCTCTCCCATTTTTTCTAGTTTTCACTTTCTCATTAGACTCAAAATAGAGAAATGGCTCATAAATCCAAAAAAATATATATATCGTCGATGGTTGGTCATCTTGCGTATTTGTGTGTGTGTGTGTGTGTGTGTGTGTGTGTTTGGCAGAAATTCGAAGAAGTCTGAAAAATAGTGAAGACATTGAAGAGACGCAGAGAGTGCGCGAAAAGAAGAAAATGAGAGAGAGGCGAAGATTTCGAAGGGATAGAAGAGAGAAAAAGAGAGAAAAAAGAATGGGGATGGATGGGAAAAAGGAGAAGAAAACGAAAAGGAAGAGACTACCTAACGAGTTTGGACCACACTGATTTGCACAGCCAATTACACGAAACATTTATTTCCAAATCACCATGCCCTGAAAGAAGAAAAAGAAGACCATCAATCACTGAAAAGACTTTTGAGACTTCTGCGAATGAGAAAATATTCCGTATTAATTTTTTGGAAAATTTTCAGCTTAGATCTGTAGAATAGACAATTCATAAAACATTTTTATTAGGATTAACGTTTTTAATTTTTCGGTCTGTAGCTAAATTTCATCCTAGATAGCACAAACAGTTAGAATACGTCCTCCGAACTGTTACTAATTGTCAACTAAGGAATTCAAGACATAAGGACCAGAGATGTCAGGAAGTAAAAATTTTGAACTCGAAAGTCGGAAGTCGGAAGTAAAATTGCATTTTCGGAAGTCGGAAATAGGAAGTCAGAAGTACAATTTTGAACTAGGAAGTCGGAAGTGAAGAAAACGCCGGGACGTAGGAAGTAGGAAGTCGGAAGTCGGAATTCCTGACATCTCTGAAAAGGACCAGAGATGCACGGACAGCGAATTTTTTTTTCGGACAGCGGACAACCGAAAATGGCCGATCACCGGATTACGAACAACGGAAAACAGACAACATTTTTCAAAATCAACGACCTTCCCAGGTGGAAAATTTCGATTACAAAATTTTTTGGTGAACGGACTGACCAAAACTATTTTCAACGGGAAATAGACTATCCGTATATTTCAGATGATGACCACGACATAAGGACGACAAGACCTAAAGACCAAACTGAAGGACCACGACAAAAACTAGAACAACGAAGACGGACCAAAACCCGAAAAAAAAGACATCCCAAAAAATATCATCGACGAAGAAAAGAAAGCGCGCAAGAAAGCAAAAAAGAAAGCCATCACAAAAAAGAAATTAAGTTCACAGAGCTTTGACATTACGACGTCGACTGGGTATCCTTCGTCCCGTGCCATCAGAAATCTGAAATTGGACTAGTTTATACTGATACAGATTCTCATTTACCCCATTGACTAAAACAAAAATCATAAAAATTGAAAACATCTACTCACCTTCCCTTATATTTCGATACTCCTGACATCTTCATCCCTGATCATCCTGCACTGGAAGCTGTCCCGGCATTCGGTGCATCCCGGAAACCAATTAGCTCCTGGAACTTGAACGTTTTAAAACAAAATCAACTTTTTATTCTTTCATTTTCAGATTTCTTGAGCTATTTGTATGTTTCTAAATACTTGCGAAAAGTTGTCAAGGATTTGTTCATCAAAAATTTACAACAGTTTTGTTAAAATTAAAATCTAGGAGAATGGAATGTCCGAACCCGAGAAAATTTTGTTAATTTACCAATTCCCATTTTCTCATCTTCCATTTTATTTCGCTTCTCCTGTCATCATATCGTTTCAAATCCTTGCAAATCCTGGAAACCGGCCTGCTAGCTGTCCTCGAAGTGCTGGAGGTTGGTGCATCCTGGAGACTAATCAGCTCCTGGATATTGAATCCTGAAAATTAAATATTTATATTTTATTAAGCTTTCGCAGTGTTTAACCATAATTTAAAGAAAAACAATTTTTTGATAATAAAAAACCAGCAAAAGGAATTGTCCGAACCCGAGTCTTGAATTTTTACCCATTCCCGTTTCCTCACCTCTCATTGTATTCCGCTACTCCTGGCGTCCTTGTTCCTGCCAATCCTGCCCTGGATGCTGTCCTTGCATTTGGTGCATCCCGGAAACCAAGCTCCGCCTAGAATTTGAAAACTTTCGTAAATTTACCAATTCCGATTTCCTTACCTCTCATTTTATTCCAATTCTGGAAACATTCCTGGAAGTTGTCCTCGAAGTCCTGGAAGTTGTTGTATCCCGAAGACACCTAAAAGCTCCTGCAAGGTCCTGCAACTTGAACGTTGGAAACTAAGTACTGATTTCCCTTATTTTCCAAATTTTGGAGTTAGCCCCATTTGAAAACGATGATATGCTGTATTGTTAGTTCTTTTCCAAATTCATAGAATTTAAAAACATTTTCAGAGTTTAAAATCCTCTAAAACCAATTGATTGGCATCTATTGGCATCTGACATTTGTTACAGTTTGGAATCTACCGGAAACCTGTAACTACCGGAAAACCTGTAACTAACGGAAAACCTGTAACTTATAAATTGTTTTTCAGAATATCAAAAACATTTTAATAGTTGACAAAATTTTCATATCTTGTATTGGAGCCAAGAAAAATGAGTTCAACCCTGACAGTGTGGAAGCCTTCTATTACAGGGTTTACAGTAATTAGGGAGTTTATGATGCTGCATCAAAGTTGTAACAATATTATTTTTGTGTTTTCTAATACGTTTTTTATCCAAAGATCCGTAGTAAGAAAAAAGCTTCTTGAAGAATCCAAAAGCTCAAGTGTGTCAAACGTATTCAGAGGAACGAATCCATCAGAATGTTGCCATAGAAGAAATACTTGATCTGATAATTGGGCAATCGTTCTGGATCTTCT